CCATGCAAGTACCATAAAGATTGTGTGGGATTGTTTGAAAGCTCGAACAGAGCTGGGTAGTCAACACTAGCTTGGGTACCAGTCCTCATAGGGCCTAAAGGCAATAAAGATGCTGATGTATACTAGTTCAGGCTCAGAACACTCCTGTGGTGTTACACAGACAGCCATTAGAACATATACAAAGCAGCGCATGCTAAACAAATCCCAGAAATGGTGGAACAAATTATCAAAAATGAAAAATACTAGAGTACTAGTAGGTCTATCAACAAGGTATTGAAGGCTTAAAAAAAGATGCATAACGTCGGCCTGATAGAAGATGTGCCAATTCTATAGGAAAGAATAGGAAATTGGAAGGTCTATCAAGATTAAGATTCCTCAAACTTGGAAAAAAAAACCAAGGGCAATACGCTTCTTCGGATAGCTACTTCCTAGTTAATTGGGTCTACAACAAAGAACCAACCTAGTTAAAGTACTTTAACCAATGATTAAACAGTAATGCACAATAAATCTGAAAAGGTCGAGATGGGGGATGCAATATGGCCCAAAGTCTAAGCCCATCTAGTCCAATCTAACTTAAATAACTGATCTCTCTGCATTTGAATTTTGTTTTACCTTTGGTCGTTTGTTTTTTGTCAGTTTTCTTCTATTTACAAACTAGTATGTGAAATTTTCAGTGAGGATTAGTTATTTGAAATGCGCTTTCTGCTTCTACCTGAAGAGCCCCAATTAGATCAAAGCTCCTTAAATTCCAAATCAGAATTTGATTATTGGTCTAAATAACTGGTGACAAAAGCATTAAAGATGATGTCACATTGAAATTTTTACCACTAATTTAAATAGCATTGGATTTAATTTAAATTAAATATTTTTTTATATTTGTTTTAAGTTGTTTTGAATATAATCCCATTCAAAATTTACAAGTTTTTATTATGCAAGGAATTAAAGATTTGTTAATTAAATGTATTATAGTTTATTTATTTACAAGTTTTTATTATGCAAGGAATTAAAGATTTGTTAATTAAATATATTATAGTTTATTTTAATAAAAATGGTACGTTTCCTTAAAATTTAATAATAAATATACACAACAAAATTTTACAATCACAGGACTATACAAAAAGAAATGTAAATCTTAACTAAAATAATTTATAATATGCATGACACTTTTTGTCGATTAGAAATTTTAATCCTTTTTAAAAAAATTAAGACCTACTTAAATTAATTTTGAATTGTAAATATTTTCTACATGTAGAGATTACATATTTACCTTATTTTTGTTAATTAAAATGACTAGAAAATTTAATACAAGAATTAAAATAAATTGATATTTTTATAAATTTTAGGGAGAAAATCAAAGATTTTATTTTGGAACAAATAATGCTAAATCTTTATTTTCAAATAAACTTATAGTGTTTAGAATCGCACTTCAACGCCCTCTTTGATGGTTATTTTAGTTACCAATACTCATTTTGATTAAATTTTTTTATGTAGATATGCCAAATGTCACTAATTTACGTGTAATCATTAAAATTTCCGTATTTTTTTTTATGGCTGTTGGATATGTTTTCCATTTAGCCAGAATCAATAATATTAAGTTTTATCGTACCTGTCTATTAACCCTATCTATTCCAGAAAAACAAAGCCCCCCACAACAAGGAGTATGGAATTGGGTAAACACATTTCACACCCAGGGGTCTATCAGGGTGACTGACGCACAGATTGAGAGGACCTCGGTTAAGAAAGGTTGTACAATATTTAGGTTGACAAAAACAAAGGGTACAAAACTATATACTATAATTTTAAGCCGCAAGCTTTGGTAAAACCCAATAGGGCTTCATATACTGCTGAATCGTTCAGCGACAAAAGGTACATTAAGTTAAATGGGGCTAAAATGCCATTTGCTAGTAGCTGGTTAAAAAGTTGCTGTGTTTGAATGTTATACTTTTTGCAACTGAAAAATATATGAACCAAATCACTAATCACACTACAACTGTCTCAAAGGTTGGAGTCTATAACTTTAATTTTGTGTAAATGATAAGGATAACAAGCATGTCCAAATTTGATTCTACTGATCGTTACAATACTATTTCGTGGGTACTTTAAATTCTTATGCTACAATTCGTTAGGTATTACTGGGTGGAGTAAGGTGTAACGGGTTGGTTTGTTTCTACAATATTGAATCCAGTACAGGTTCCATCGTTCTTTTAACTTCTTTCTAGAATGACTTATGCATTCGTCAATGCTAATATTATTTTTAAGAATTTGGCCAGTATCGATGCTTTCCTTTGCTAGTTTTTCGACTGTCTCATTAAAATGTAAGCCGATATGTGCCTTTACCCATAAGAACTTTATATCAAACTGTATTTGTTTTAATTTGTTGATTTGTAATTTTAACTTGATAATAGAAGCGTTTTGGTTGGGTGCTATAATGTCAATAGCGTCAGCTATAGTTTTGAGGACAGAGAGTGAATCAGATAATATATGATTACCTTTTTAAAGGAATGATGTTCGGCGTATTCTAGTGCCTGAATAATCCCAATGGCTTCAGCAGAAAATATTGAGGTAAATGCATTTAATTTATACTGTGCTTTAATATTTAAAGAGGGAATGAAAAATGCACATCCAACTCCACTATTTTCGTATTATGTTGCTTATAGCATCACTCTGTATTGTTTAGTTTGATCCTCCTAACATTCTAGCGAATATAATGAATAATCAATTGCATTATTTAATAAAAATATCCTATTAAAAATTATATACATAAATCGTCCATTTTAATAATTAATAAATTTAACCAACTAATAAAAAATGCTATAATTAAATAAGTGGATATTATTTAGAATATTATCAGCTGCCTGAAAACACGAACTGCGAACCCCAACATTCATTCCCTATTAATAATTTAAAAATACCAGAAGTGACACTAATTTAATGCATGCATAAAAAATGAATGCCATGTATGAAAAGGGAGTTGCCGGTTGTTTGAAAAAGGAATATTCTACTAACAAAAATGGATGCAAAGCAAACGGAAGAGTTCCCTACAGTGCGTGATCCTACCACGTGCTAGTCTAATCACGCACGTGTGGTTTCAGTGAACCTTCAGAGAGAAGGAGAGAGACCCTTTACTAAACCTGCTCGTGGCTCGTTGGTGGTATAAATTCTTTCGTAAAACATGATAATCCTGCATTATTTATGGACATTTCAGGAACGTTTTCCACACAAGAGAGGACTCTTATTAATAATTTCAATTTAAGTGTTGTTATATTGCTGCTTTACTGGTTTTCTGTGTATCTTTTGTGTATTTTTATGTTTACTATAATATAAAAGGGACCAGAAATCACTTCAATAGATCCTGCTTTGATACTGGGAAGATATCCTTCAACTCTACTTTTTCATTTTATGTTTTGTGAATTAGGCTAATTTTCTGTGACATACTCATTTTTAATCAATTTAGATTACATTGGACCATAAAATAAAACCTAATTTCTCTTTTTTAATTAATTCTAAAGTCCAAACTTTTTACCTGGCGTTTTACAAATGATATAAATCCGACTTTTTTACACTTATTTTTTAAAGTTCTTTAAAATGGCTGCGAAAATAGGAAAAATATCGGACCTCTCGAATGTCCAGCAATGCGATTACTTCAGTAAATCCCTCGATTAGGTTTGACGGTAATCCTATGATTTCGGGATTAAATAATGGAACGAATCTCGTTTGTTGGTGTCCCAGATAGGAGATTTTCAGATAGAGAGGTTGCTCTGATTAAAAGGGCAATTTCCGGTTTGTCTCACAATTTTTATTCCTTGTCTATACTTTGTGTGATCATTGTTGTTTAGAATTACGTTACTACAGTATTTATATAAAAAAGAAGAAGAAAATAATACGAATTTGATTAGATCCACAGTATTTTCAACCTTCTAGCTTTAGTTGTACTTACGAAGTAAAATGTCATTCTTAGTCCAGTTTTATCCGATAGAACAATTAATAATATTAATGTTATTTTATGAAAGATTACGTAAATTGTAAACGACAGTTTTGAGCCAGAATTTGAGATTGATTTAAAAATTATATCCTAATATTTGTAATTAAATGTAAAAACTATTTATTGTGACATGAAATAGAAAATTTCCCATTTTTCAAACAAGTTTTGTTTCCAATCTTGTATTGAAAATAACAATTTGGAAGTCGCACATCTAATGTCTCGATAGCCGAATCATTAAGGGCATAAAACACGAATACCTGGGTTCAAATTCAAACATGGGACACAATTTTTCAATAAATTTATTCTATATTTTTTGAAAAATAATATATTTGTAGACATCCAAAGGATACTTTTGTTTTTAACGATTTTCATTCTCCTATATAAAAAATCTAACTTCTGGCATGACTACATGCAAAAAAACATATATAGGGTGGTTGGTAAACAAAATTAATACAACACCCTGTATCTCGATTATAAAAAACTTAAGACCAATTAAGAATGTGTTATTTAAAAGCATCTCATAACCTCTATAACGTGTATTCCTTTTCCCAAATCAAACACCCTGTATACTTCACTCACGAGTTTTGCTTTTTTTTAATGTCATCGCCTCAGACTATCTAATTATATTAAAAGAATGATATATAGCAAATGCGTGCCGGTAACGGTCGACTACCTTAAAAAAAGGGAGAAAGGGCGTTGTCCCTTGATTTGCTTATTAAATCGTTCGTGAAAACAGGAAACTAGAAACATGGGCGGAGAACATTGAACGTTTAATCTATATTAGCAAATAAATGTATCAGAAAGGTCCTCGACCCGTAAGTAGAAATCTGTTTGCAACAAAAATTGTAGCTAGCTTATGGGTCGATTCTAAAACAATTTATTAAGATCTGTAAGCAAAAATATATGGCAAGATACTCCATCTAACAAGCCTCTTATCATATTTCTGTACCACACCTATCTAGTGTCATAAATTGTATAGAAAAACAAATTTTCTAAAATAAAATTTATTAGAATTTACTGGAAAACTTAAATTTAAAAATATTAATTTAAAGATTTGATATTTTAGCCTTTTTTTTATAGTGCTACACAAGATCCTTACATCTTTTTACAAATGGAAATAGATATTTTATAAAGATTATCTTTTAGAAAATTCCCAAATAATAACAAAAGTGATTGAATAGATAATACATTTTTCCGTGTTTATAAATCATCAACATTTTCTTTAATCCACGAAATATAACTGCTAAGTTTTACAAAAATTCCAGAAGGCCCTTTCATATCATGATCGATCGCTGCATTATAGTAGACAAATATCCATGAATGAAGACCATAGACAAGGCCGTCTTTGATTAGCGGTCCCCCAGAATCACCAGCAACATTGACCCTTGTACCATTGTTTAATGGACCAGTACATAAAGACAAATCTTCATCCACCGTCACGAGTTTATCGTTATCGTAGAATAATGCTAAACAGGCTAAATAACAAGCTGAAAATGATAAAGAACAATATTAGTTAATCTTATTGAAAGCAGATTTTGGACTACCTTGCTCTGAGTTTGTGCCATTTATCACTATCATCAATATCTATCTGAATTAAGGTGTGGTCCAAAGTCCACTAATATTGAATATCTTGGAATATTGTACCCCTTTCAGTTTTTACATTATCTGGTAAATATTCTTGGTGTATTCAAGAACATGTCTGCTGGACCCTTTCGTGATTTCTTCGGGTTCCAGATATTGTACCACTAAATGCTATTCATAATCCCATTCACATTTGAAATTCCGTCAATGCCATAGTATGTGAATAGGCGTTACTAGTATATCTTCACATTTTCTTCATAGGGAATCATCATATATCTCTAAGAGATCTAAGCGTCTTCTAAGGCCGCAAATAGTCCTATTAGGGTGTTGAGTTTCTTCCTTCTGTTTAGTAGTTCAGTTTTCTACTCTTGGATGGACCCTCTCTGAATATTTCGGACTGATTGAGTCCAGGAACTTCCAACCAGAGTTTATAGCGTTCTTTGTTTACTTGTTCCTTTAGCATGTTTATATGAAATATCACATGTGGGGTCTGGTTCATTTCTATTTTCCTTAACTCCCTTCCTGACTAGGAGGTCTGGTTTTCCAACACCCAGCACCCATTCAAAAGGGACTTTATTATGGTCTGCAGTCGGCAGTCCAGTATTACTTTGAATTATACTTCTACCCCTTGCAGTGCTTTAAGGACTGGGCTGCCTAGTTGTCTACTATTTATTGTCCTAGATCCATCAACGATGTTTCTATATATTTTTTAAGATAAACACAGTAAGTAGGAACACAGTCAGAGCACGGTAGTCCACAAGAAAATCTGTAATAGTTAGTTAATCACTTACTTTCATAATTAATAATGTTATATTTGGTAGTTTGCAATCTTGTTGGTTTTTCTGTCCAACATACATGATCGCCCCATCCAACAAATTGCACATCTGCATTATCATCAAGTTGTGCATCCTCCTCTGGTAAAGAAATAGAGCCTACAACTTCATTAAACGTGAGAGACTGATTTAATTTTACTATTGCCAAGTCGCTGGGGGCCATATATCCGAATTGCTCACTGAAAAAATAATTATTCAAATATCAATTTGTATGGAGTCTTCATTCATTGTTGGAGCTACTTTTTTCAACGTACGTTGGTATAAGAAACGAAAATAAGAAAATTGAAGGTTCGGAGAAATGGACTGTTACTTCTTAAGCACAGCGTACTTGGTACCTGAAGCCAGATAATAAGCAACGCAGTGACAATGTTAGGGCAACTGTTTAAGAAGCAATCAATAAAATGAATGATTACAGGACAAGATGGTGGATAAAATTAAATAAATCATCTTTGCATCTAGTGATTGTTGTACTTAAACCATTAAAACGTCATCAGATAGTGGTAGAAATAAAATAGTAAAGTCGGTACTCACTATGTTGTTTCGTAGTCCGGATGGATAACTATACTTTCAATACCTACGTCTTGTCTATACGTTTCATCGCCTCCTTCAATATCTACTAGTCCAGCTACAATTTTAAGAACTTTCATTGATCCATTTTGTTTGTTCACACAATGAGCAGCTGTCAAAATGTAATTCGGGCTGATGATGGTTCCTGAGCACGTGTGTATAGTAGCGCTTGCATTAGCTCTATGGCATCCTTCTGTCTGTAGAGAAACTATGAAGGGAAACTCCCCAAAATTAGCATTGGTTCCTCCTGTGATTCCGACAGGATTGTGCGGAGTAGCATCTACTAAATAAAATACAACTTGTTAAAATGAACTTGTTATTCATTTATTACGTAACTGTCATTGAATCGTCAATTTTCCTATCGTTATGAATAAATCTTTATGTATTAAATATACTTATTACTATGGTATATGGTATACTATTATTATACCATACCAATATTGTTATTACCTGCTAGTGCTGCTATTAAGAAGATGATAGACACAATTACTTTCATTTTTATAATAACTACTTACTACTAATTCACTGTAACTGTAAACTTGAGTATTGATATTAAGTCTATCTTAATTAATCTATTAATTTAAAATTATTATCTCTGGGTAAAAATGCTTAGATAAATATTTAGAATTATGCGAATTATTGAATATCCATGATAACAAAATTGATGAGTTTCTAAGCAGAATAACCGCGACGCTATACGTTAAGTGCAGGTTTAAAATAAAAGTTTTTTGTTACTCTATCGATTACACATGGTATTTACATTTATACTTATAACATATTTAAATTATAAAGCTTTTCAAGAGCATCGTATTCATTATTTTTAAATAAATATTGATATATTTTATTAATTACTTTTCTAGCTGTCTATTTTTGAGTAGCATTTTTTATTGAGTAGGAGGCAATTTGAACGTATTACTTACAAAGCTTTTATGGACTCACTTGTACATACAGTCGCCGCTAGATGGCGCCACCTGCCAGTGGTTGACAATTGAAACTCGGCTAAGTGGTTTGCGACTCAGAAAAGCCATCCAAGATGGCGGCCATCGTTTACGTGACGTAACGTAAATTGAAGTTATATAAAAAATAATGCGCAATAACAGGACCTAAAACTTATCTTCGTTATTATTGGTCCGATTTGAATGGGGAAAACGGGGGAGTGTGGGGAATTAAATCTCTATTAACGTTGAATAGAAAAATCCTGCGCAGTAGCAATGCCAAAGGCTCCTAAGAGTGTATCTCGCTTATTATTGGTTAGATTTAAACGATGAAAACGTTATTATGTAGAAAACTTGGTATAGATTAACGTCGAATAGAAAAAATTATGCACAGTAGCAATGCCAAAAGGCGGGTCTCGACAAGTTTATTGCAACGGTGTTATCCCACTTCAAAACCATCTTTCGACACACATTTACTAATAATTTTGACAATATAATAACATATTGTTTATTGATAGACACAACTATATGAACCTACTACTAGCTAATCTAATAATTATGTACACTATTTTATTATGATTTATACCCTCACCTCACCTGTCACTATATTTAAGAATATTTTTTAAACACTAGAATATCAAATATGTACTTAAAGTAGAAGAAGGTAAATTCTTATCAGACTGAAGATTACACATATCTGAAATCTATCGACATCCTCAAAACGTAACAACTTTTTTGATATTTTTTCCAATTGAATAATAACTTATACTCTCACCCCACGCTCTGTCACCATATTTAAAAATGAGGATGTCAAATTTGGACCTAAACAGACTGTAGGATACCCATATCTGAAATCTATCGACATCCTCAAAAAGTAATAACTTATTTGATATTTTATCCAATTAAATAATAACCTATACCCCTATCTCAAGATATGATACCATATTTAAGAATATTTTAAAAACCTAGAGTGTCAAATATGGACCTAAACTAGAAGAAGGTAAAATCTTTTTTATTCAACTCAAAAATACCCAAATCTGAAATCTATCGACATCCTCAAAATTTATCAACTTTTTTGGTATTTTTTCCAATAAATGAATTACTTATACCTCCACCTATGGTTTATTTTTATTTTTAGATTAATCATAAATTGATAAGCAAATACTCGTATATTTTGATCATAAAACTAAATAAATGTTCATTATTTCTCTATTGTTTTTCAAATTACTTAATTTTATGTTATTCTTTTAATTAAATTCTTAAATGAAAACAACGAAGAATAGTGGAAAGTAAAAACAAGACCATAAAATACGTTTCGAAGATTCAACTAATAAAATGTAAATGAATCATTTCTTTATAAAATCGCAAATGCATTGAATGCCTTTGGGTATATGTCGATATTGCAAAATATTACTGAGCAATAACTAATTAAAACTAAATAACAACCTTCGATTTAAAATTTAATGATTTCCTTTTGCTGCTTGTATTGCGAAACAAAGCTTCGGTGCTGATTTATATATTTTGTTTTTCAATGAATCCCCTATAGATGCTATTTTTGATGTATTTTATATCTGATTGTCTTTATTTTAAAAGTAGGATGATATTTTATCTGTTACGTTGTATAATTTTGTACGACCTAACCTCACTCCCTTCTATTCTGTTCTTACTTTATATGCATCTATTCTCCCTTTTATCGGTCTTTATCTTGTTCTACCTTTGTTTTCTTTTTGTACTTCTTTTTTGAGTTATATTTTGTATTCCTCTTCCAAAACATTCCACCCTATTTTTAGTCAGCAGCTCATACAACAGTCCCCAAAACGTTTCGTTTGCCCTGATAAATTGTGCGCTACTGAACAATAAAACTATAACCCACCTTTGTGATCCACTACACCAATGTTTTAGAAAAAAACATTATCTTTAAGGTAGGTATATTTACTTTGGCCTTATGTTGCAGATTTAATATATTTAGTTTCCATGAATATGTCTACAAAATTGAATTCCATCGCGAATAAGCTGTCTCAAATATTTTGATGCTTCGCTATTTCTATTTCCTTTTTCCAAGAATATAACTATTTCTATTGGTAAATACGTTTCAAACATTTCATAACGTTTTGGAGCTAGTAGGTACAGGAAATAATATTAGAAAATATGGAAGTTGGATAAAAACAACGATGCAAACAAGTATCTATATTTTGAATTAATGTATTTATTTATTATACAGCCAGTTTCTAAAACGTTTGTTAAAAAAGTTTGAAAGAACTTGAAATATAATAGAAGCAACCAAGATCATACGCGCAGAGAAGAGAAGAACGGTTTTTAGAAGAGATCACTTGGATCTTAATACATTATAATCGATGTAATGCCGTAAAAATCGCGTTCTGAGTACAGAAGCCAGTTAAATTTGCGCAGTAGAAAGCAGATCGAAATAAACCTGTCATTCTCAATTATCTAAAGGATTTTATTTAAATAATTATTTATTGTAAATGCAGATTGTTGTTTTAAGTTGAAATAAATGTAGATCTTACGCGAATTACATAGAAGATGGTAAGGTAACAATTTTTTTCTCGAGTTTTAACTCCAAATAGGTAAAATATCCATATAATTTAAATATTTACTTTATATATTGACTGATATAAAAGTTTCAATCCTGTCGATATTCCCTTGGGATAATAGCAAAAGTTTAAACTTGTAGCTACTATTTGTAGAATCTGGTATAGATACATTTGTTATTTGCTAATGACCTGAAATTAATGATCTTAAAAATGATGGAACTTTCCATATTTTTAGATTAATAATAATTTAGGTACAAAAAGCAACCAGATAAATTAAAGTAAGTATTACAAATGTAAAAAATACGGTTATTGTCTAACCACATAACTAAATTATTCTGAAAACAAAACAAAATTTGGTATGCGGGTCTCTAACTCGTCGCGGCATTAAAAAAAGTTTTATTAAATAAAATGGTGTACCTACATCAAAACATATCGTTGCGGTCAGCCCACAATGTTTCTTCGTTTTGTTTCTAGAATCTCAGAGAAACCTCCGTATTTATTAAACTATTTTACATAAAACATGACGGTGTACATCAAGATAATTTCGCAACGGTGAATCAGATAAGGTCGGATTTATGTGTGGTGAATGTAGGTGCACACACAAATGTGAGCAATACGTACTGAGAAATTGAGCAAAAAAGATAAAAGGATGATGTTTATGTGTAACGTCATAAGTACCAAAGTGTTTCACTTTCATCCTTTTTTTAGTTTAGTCAATTTCATTACTGATAATCTACAAAACAATATTAGATTGGTCCTGTTGCCTTCTGAAGCTTATTTATATTTGTTAATGTTTTTAGTATGAAATCTGTATCGTATTATTATTATTAATAAATTCGACAAAATTGTTTAAAAAGGACCATATTCATATGTGTTACGTATTTAAAAAATATTTTCCAAATGTGTTTTCTAATATATTTATTTTAATTCAGGATTCTGTAGCCATTGATTTATTGGAATCAAATTCAATCTTCTCTTACTTATATACTTTTTTTATCATTAATAAAATATTTTAGTGCTGCTCATCCATTTTTTAACAAATTAGTAGAAAAAATATATCGAACATTTGGACAAGAAATGCAACTTTGTTAAAGTTTTAATAATTATGTTATTTTAATAATTTTTGTCTTGTAACTTTTAGACGTTAGTTTAAAATATTTCAGACGTGGTATTTTACTCATTGATCATCAATTATAAGATTTCAATTATCTGAAAAAGTTCAAAATATGGTCAAACCCTATAACATACAAATTGGACACAAAAATAATTTTACAAAATTAAAAAATAAAATATCTCCCAATAAAAAAACCCACACAATTCACTAAATCTCCTTGCAAATAAGAAAATTATAATATACTTAACATTGGCCGGTTAAAACAATACCTAGAGAACATATTAGCATGTATTTGTCAGTGGCGGGGCAAGACCTAAATTTGATGTGGGCAAGATACATTTTTGCGAGGCCCTCTGGTGGCGCAGGAAGATGGATTTCATCTACACTTTAACTAAGTATTAATTAATAAAGAATTAAAGGAACATAAATTTCCTGTTTTCAGCTTTAGGGCCATCCATAAATTAGGTCACACGAATTTCATGATTTTTTGACCCACCCTCCATCCTTCTCACAGCTGGTCACATTTATGAGACTCCCCTAGTTTAACTTCACATATTTTGCAAGTTTACATCTAAAAATTATTAAATTAAAATTGTTTTTCGTTAAAAGTTAAAATTTTGTGTTTTAATACTTAGATTAGATTTTGAAATGTGACGTTACGAAATTTAGGACCCCTCCCACCCCTTTGCACACAAGGTTACTCTTAATAAAGTCACTCCTTACTTACTGTATTAATATCCAGCTTAGATGCTATATCCTGCTTCAATAGATAAAATTGCCAAAGCTGGTCCATTCTACTTCTTAAATAATTTTGTATTAGTTTTAATTATGAAAAGCTCCTTTCAGCGGAGGCTGTACTGACTAGTACTGTTAACAAAATTCTAATGACAATATACATATTTGGGTATTTTCTGTTACATATGTTTTAGAAAATTTGACGACATTGGCAGAACAAGTCTATGGCAAGTGATACATAACTTGGGTTTCAAATTTCAAAAGGAGGATAACAGAAAGGCCCTTTGTGAAAGAAGTTCTGTCGTGCACAAGAGAATTCACTTTCTAAGAAAATATTCTAAATTTAAAGA